TTCAATCTACTCGTGAGGCGTACCTAACTCAAATCATGTGGGAATCGTTAGTGGTGAGTATAGAGAGCAAGTGAACTTGTAGATTAATCGAATTTGGTAGCTGGAATAGAATTTAGACGCATAAACATACCCAAAGCCTTTTACGATATTCAGGTAGTCTTGTTCACCATTCCTGGACTGAAATCGAATGCAGGTGCTCTTACGATAGCTGGCAAACGCTTTTTCGATTATCTTCACTTCATGAGGTACTGTAAGTGGAATACGGTAGTCACAAATTGGTTAATCTCCGATAGATACATATTTCTGAAGTGAAAATAAGGGTTCAAAAGTGAAATAAGGAGCCTTTTTGAAGATCAAACTTGGGAAGCCGTCAAAGTCGATCGATATCATCCTTCGATTGCGCCACGATTTTGACCGAACGCACAGTTATATTGGAAATGCTCCAAGGTTCAAATTAATGAGCAAATTCCGAACAGCTGACTAGGCTTTCCAATTTTACGGACTCGGTCGACTTTTGCTGGACTGGTGTTGACATCCTGTCTTGAGCAAACCGCTGATCCTTCCGCATTCCGGTTTTCGATTTACACAGAAGTGGCGTCTATGCGTATTTTAAGCCAGGTCTACTGGTTTTCAAAGGCAAGTTTAAGGGTGTCCTTGTCCTTCAGGAGAAAATAATCTAGCCCGAAAATCCATTCAAGCTGATAATAGAAAATGATAATCACCGAATGAAAGCGCATAAAAATAGTTAGAGGACAGTGATCAATTTAACTCACTTACAGAACGCTGGATCCATTTCATACGGTATGATTCCATCTTTCCATGCTAGTTGCTTATTTTTCAGGGCGTTGTAGAAGACCATTCCGTCCTAAAATCACTTTTGTTATCATGCACATATAGTCATTAAATCATGAACCACGTATTGATCTTTTGAAGAAGTTGAGAAAATAACAAGGATACTGGGATATGAAGACAACTCTCACCCCCAGGTGGAACCAGAACCTGCACCCTACCAAGCAAGCACCTTACCGAGCAAGTGCCCTACAAGCTATGCTGCGGGGCACCTAACTCAGCTTTGGTAAATAAACTGAAGTAAATATAAACTATAGCAAACATTTCATGGGAAGCGGGATCAGGATCCAAGGTCTAAAACAGCACTTAACCGTCGAGAACAGGAACAAATGAGACAATTTGTGGCTGTGAAGGTAAACGAGGAGAAACAGTAGAAGACGGTGATTCCCGCGAACACGTTCTTAGGTAATCACGACCTAAGAGGTTCACCTTGAGCATACGTCGGAGCCTTTCACCCATTATAGGCCGACCAATTGGTACTTATCTCGTGGTCAGAGGAGGATTTGTAAAAAATGGCTGGCTTCCACAAATTTTCACATTTATAGCTCAACAGCTCTCAAGTATTACAACGATATTTGGCGAAACTCGAGTGCGTGGCGCATCGCATCGTCGCATCGAACGTGGTTTTGTTAGTAAGATAATGACAATTAAAAAACTGGAGATGAGTTAGAGCTCAACTAGGTTCAATTCAGCAAAGTTGTACAAATTTAGAACCATCAATGAATTCGACCAGTATGAAGAAGAGTGTTGGACCTCAGAGGTTTATTGTTTGAAAATCCGAAAGAATTTAATTGATATACTGGCATTAGACCACTGGCACAAAACCAAAGGCATGCACATGGACTGGACCACGCCATTCAGTGTAACAAATGCCATAGAGATTTTCGTGCACGATTTTTTTCAAAAAAAAGGGTTGATCAGGTCTTCAAGTTCCATACCTGGTCGGCCTTTTGCAATAATTTGTGAAATCATACAGTTGCCAACTTTCGTTCATATTTTCGTTCTTGTTATTCGAACCAATCTCTGAGCATAGACAAAATGGGAGAGATTGTGGGTGGGAGGCAGGGGGGGGGGGGGATGAGGGGATGGTTGGGGGAGTAATTTTTCACCACATCTACCTCACATAATGTTCCGTTTCCACCACTCTTCACAACGCTCTTGAAAATTCACATTGACATGCGGCTCTTAGATAGTACTGTCTCAACATTCATGAAACGCAATGAAAGAGCGCGACTTATGGAGGGGAGAGGTAACTGTACTGAAAAAGGTACTTAATCCCCCCAACCACTCCCCCTCCCTTTTTGTTTTGCTTAGAGAGCAGATAGAATAACAGGAACGAAAATAAGTACGATATCTGACAACTATTTAAAGATGTATTTTTTGAAAGTTCATAATTTTTGGCTTGATTTTTGAATTTTGTCTAAAATCTTATCTATAAGTACATATAGTTGATTTTTGAGGAACGAGAAGTGGCAAACACGCCTTCTACGGTAATAGTAGAATTTTAGATAATTGGTTTTTTTTTCCAAAACGTTCTTTTTCTGTATCAAAATTAGCGCATCCCACAATAAAGTTAAAAAAAGAACTCCAAAAAAAACAAGCTATTCCTATTAATTCCTTTATTTTCGCTAATTTTGGTTCAAGGAAAAAGAAAATCGGATTGGGAGCATTGAACAAACAAATGACCACAAAGAAATGACCCCGACTGAGGCGGGTGTCGAAGAACAAATCATTCACATCTAATTTACGATAGTTTTTGCTTTACAACTACCTGATACCTTTGTTAGATGTCAGCCAAATAATATTTAAGACATTTAGAAGACGGAACAGAGTGGTGCACCGTTGCCATTTTGACACCTCGAGCTTCGAATCATTGCTTTAACAGCCTTCTGATAGAAGAAAATTTTTGTTTTTTTAGGCAATCGATAACTATCCCTAGCATATGGAGAGTATATGGAAGTTTAGCCAGATCTTTGGTTCATTCTAGGTACTAGTATGAGCAATTCAGTGATAATCTCGAGCTAGTTAGTCTTCTAGCTACAGAATGCGCCACATCTTCGCTTTTTCTCAGGGTATTGAAGAAATAGAAGGTGGCTCAACATTCAGTGCAGAGCTAATGTGTACAGGGTGGCTACTAACTATTGGACATCGTTTATTGACATATTTTTAAAAGAGAAGCTATTCACATTCAGAAGTTTATTTTATATACAATAAAACATAACAATTCATTGCTGAAGAAGTGCTCGAAATGGCCTCCTTCGGCAGCGATACAGGCTTCAAGTCTCTTCTCAACTGACATCACCGTGGGCCGCAAGGTCGAGTTACTTCAACGCTTCCTCCTAGGAAGCCTTCAGGAAGTCCAAACTTCGATGTTGCCTAGAAGGCATCTTCTGCTGCAGGAAGCCCCACACCGCAAAATCCATTGGGTTCAATCGGGTGAGTTAGATGGCCAAACATTTGTGACCAGTAACCTGGAAAATGACGGTCACAGAACTCCAGCGTAGATTTTGCGGCATGTGGAGGCGCCCAGTCTTGCTGAAGAATGCATGACGTTCGCTGAAGGTCGAAACAGTCCATGGAAGGAGCACATCACGTAAAATTGTTTCCTGGTAGATCTGGGCGTTAATTTTGACGGATTTGTCCACAAAGACAAGCGGTGTCTTGGTTTCAGAAGTAATTCCTGCCCAAACCATGACAGATTTTGGAAATCGGCTCCTTGTGTGCACACAACGTCGAGCAGAATGTCTGCTAGCCGGATCCAACAATTGCCTGTCGTTTTGAGAATTGTGCGCCACTTCCAGTGTGAAGATCTTCTCGCGTCACGTTGACGTCACTTACTTGCGGCCCACGGTGATGTCAGTTGAGAAGAGACTTGAAGCCTGTATCGCTGCCGAAGGAGGCCATTTCGAGCACCTTCTTCAGTGATGCATTGATATGTTTTACTGTATATAAAATAACTTCTGAATATGTAATAGCTTCTCTTTGCAAAAATATGGTCAATAAACCATGCGCCAATATTTAGTAGCCACCCTGTAGATGTTCACAGACTTGAATGAGATGATTTTACAAACTAATGAAACTAGCGCTAATTTGAGTATCGAAAAGGAACGTGAACGTTGTATATGCTCCAAATTAGAGAAGAAATACATTCAAGGAAAGAAGAAGCCATAAAGTGATCACAGAAAACGCCTCACCGGTTCCCGTAGAAGAGCGGCATCGATCCCAGCAATGTCTCCTTGGAATTTTCCTGAATAATCCTATATATTAGTTGTTCTAGACATTAAGTTTCGGCTTCCTTATACCTGAGTTGATCCAATTGTGATGAGGTCGTGAAGTCAAATAGGGATGGACATAAGGTTCGATTAGCTGATAGACGTTACTATACTGGGCGGCAACTAGCAACAGGGGCCCTGAGGCACAAGGCCGCCCGCCGAAAAAAAAAAAAAAACAAGAAAAAAATAGGCACAGGCCGACCTGTGCCTCATTCGAATGAAGCCTGCTGAAAGGACCGCCTCTTCACACCATCCAGCAAATCGGTCTACAACCTCTCACCCGTTCTTTGCTGGGAGCGCAGGGTTACGCTCAATCCAAGATTTTCTTGCAGGGGCTCACTACAATTCGAAACCTGTCGTTCTTCCGGGGCTTTCTCGCACCAAATCCTGTTTATAACAGGCTCGTCATTGAATGCGTGAATAAATAGGGAAAATAGAAAAAATGGGGTTTAGAAAAATCGAGTAATGGCGTCGACAGTTTTTTGTTTTGGATTATATTTGTAACAAGTTTGTTGAAGTTCTCAATGCTCAATTTCCCGACATTTTCAATTGAAAGCTGGTTTTGGGACAGTATTTTTATAGCAACATTTCTACGCGGAATTGTGAGTGAGAGGAGTGACTCAGGTAATGCGATTAGTGTAGATTATGGATGGTTTGGTAACCTCTTACAAGCACCCCTGCCACTGAAGGAGAGCAGAGACTAGAAGTCAGCAGAAGCCAGGCAATTTAGCAGAATTAGTTGGATCATGCTTTGGGCTGAGCTTGAGTGGTAATGACAATTATTGTATGATTCTCAAGCCATTCTCTCTACTAGTACATCTAAACCATCGTGGAAAGTAAAAAAGGATAAAGCTTCTGCCGTTCAATTGGTCAATCCCGGAGCAGAATGCGGCAATCATATCAGAAGATATCCTGCCGGACAAGTTTGGTACCAATTACCCGGAGGGATGGAAGGCCTGGTTGGCTCGGACGACGCACGAACCAGGTCCCTGTACCGCGAATGTGGTAGGGGTGCCACCTGATACTACATCACTTCCGCCTTTCGTGGAAAACATCTAACAAATGCTTCGAATAAACTGGTATAAGAGGAATTCTAATTGGTACAGAAGAAATAGGGAATACTAAGCAAACGGTGAATCTATTCGGGGGAAGGGGAGGGGGCTGTAGTGGCAGTTTAATGTGTTGCCGTTTATTGCGCACAGCCATCAAAACAGCCTACAACCACCTGGGCAATCTTTGCAGTCTCAAATTCCGCGGACCAATTTCAACGCAAATACTTTGTCTCGGTCATAGACAAAGCCATGTGAATGGTTATTTCAATGACTCGTCTGATTTTTCCAGATACCAAATGGAGAACAAGTGCGCGGCGCATTCCGGAGAAGACGCCAATCACTTTTTCATTGGTTTGTGCAGCAGTATTCACACTGAAGAGAGCTTTTTGAGCCAATGGTAAGCATTCATCGAGCTTCAAGTTCCAGCCGTCTGCCACAATTTCTGGACGTAGTGATGTTCATAGATCTGGTCAAGATTGATCCCCGACTGACCGTAAGCTGACAAACACACATCCAAAGCCTGTCTTTCCAGATGTTTTCGAGAAATTTTGTGCGTTTACAAACAGTACTTAGCGCACATTTACGCAAACATCGATTTCAACAAGGTTGTCAATTCCTCAGTCGACCAGCTCGATGACTCTTGACTAGTTACAGGGCACACAGGAACTAGCCATCGTTGTACGGACGGGTTGGTCGGCTATCAGAGTGACACGCATTATGGCTATCACAACTTGAGGTAATAGGATTTGTTTTTTGTAACCAATGTCCAGAGGCATGAGGATTCGGTAGGGCACACCATTGGCGAAAAAAATTCCTGGAATCTGTCAAAAACTGGCTTAGTGGTATATTATTGTTATTTATCTTATAATTCACGCGATGACCGAGCTAGCAGCCGAAAAACGGATGAATCGGACGTGTCAATCCCATCACATCATTTTAGCAGACGCCATGCTGACTATAAACCCATTTCCTAGATAAACTAAACGATCCGGGCGCTTGGATTGAAATGCTTTTTTCGATTACAATTGAACTTCGCTACTAGTAGGTGACCGCCAACCTTGATTGCAAAACTTAGTTGTCGCGGGGGATCGAACCATCAAGGGTATAATTCACCATTTTTTTTGACACTACTAGAACCGTTCAGCGAAAAAGAAACATGGTTTTGTAGTCCATAGTTGCGTCCCCACGATAAGCAAGAAACCGTTTCCAAAAAGCGCGGCCTGTCCTGAAAGACCCCCCTAGGTGCCGAAGACCGGAAAAGGGTGGTTGAAGGGAAGGAATTGAATTTCTAATGGTGTGCGCAGCGTGCATCAAAAAATCGGGGTTTGCCGCTCAACAAATTAGTAGGGCTCATCAACAGTACAGAGACGGGAAAAAACGAACAACTGGTTGAAGATGAAGGGAAGGTTAATAGCCATTATTGGATTGAGCAAGTGGATAGAATTTAGCTTAAACTTCAAATATTCGTAGTCAGGGTGCGTTGCGCAAATTCCAAAATTTTTACGACCCCCCTTTCCTTTTCGGAGGGTATC